GGAGGGTGGGGGGGCGTAGGGGGGAACACGGGAACCCAGCTGGGCAAGAGCCATGTGCGGCTGGGCACGGAGAGAGGTGGTGGGCCGGGAGGCGGGGCTGAGAGTCGGCCAAGGACTGCCCGGCACCCTGCCGCCGCCCAGCCAGCAGGATGGCGGGCCCCCTGGGCCACGACCTTGCCCTGCCACGACCTTGCCCCGCCGCTCACCGACCAGGCTGACCACGGTGGCGGCGAGGAAGTAGGACAGCGGGCGCACGCCCCGCTCCTGCTCCCGCCACCACACCACGCGCGCGGAGAAGCCGAAGAGCGGCAGGCTGGTGGCGCCGCTCAGCAGGCCCAGCGCCAGGAATGCCAGCGCCGCGTTGCCCCGAACCTTGGTCTCGTTGCCGCCAGGGCCCTGCATGATGCCTGCAGGGGACAGGGAGGTAGGGGCAGAACCGGGGGAAGGAGGAGAGGCGTGAGAGAGGCGCCCTGATGAGGTGGTGGTGAGCAGCAGGATGGGCAGGCGAGGCCGGCCAGCCTCACCGCACACGGCGGCCGCCAGGATGAGCAGCAGCAGCTCCAGCATCTTTCCCGTCCAGTTCCGCACCCACTTGATGCCTGCGCACACACATGCACACGCATGCCGGCGGCATGGGTTGCTGCACGCCGCTGTGAAGCACTTGACGGGAGACAGCCCTACCAAACTGCACTTGCTGCCCAGAGCGGTTGCTGGGCTGCCACACACACACACACGCGCCCACCCAGCCACCCACCTGAGCGGAACAGCAGGATGCGAAACTGGGCGGCCGCCCCCGGCGTGGTGCGCAGCTCGGTGCCTGCGGACAGGCCCAGCCAGGCCAGCGGCCCGCGGCGCGCGGCTGCCTGCTGCTGCACCTCCACCTGCACCGGCGGCTCCTGCTGCTGCTGCGATGCATGCATGCTGCTGTCGGCCGAGGGAACGGAGCTGCTCGTCAGCGGCATCTTGAGTGCATCCTGCCGCTGGTAGGTGGGCGCCTGGGGCGGCACGGCGGCGGCGCCAGCCAGCAGGGTGCCAGAGCCGTGTTGGTCCCGGCTGAAAGGCGACCGCGGCTGCCCGGGCAGATAGATGTGCCTCACGGGGCTCTCTGTGGGTGACACCAGCCCGACGCCGGCTTGCACGCTGCGCGCATCGCCCTCGCTGCTGCTGCTGCTGCTGCTGGCATCGCCCAGGCTGCTGCCCACGTCCTGCCAGCCCGCTGGCCCCGCCTCCACGCCATGCTGCTGCCGGTGGTGTGCCGCCGCCAGGTCGTTGAGCGTCGTCGCGCCCTGCCGCACGCCGGGCGGCAGCGCATCGGCGGCCAGCTCAGACAGGGCTCCCGCCAGAGTGTACTGCTCGATGCTGCGGAGCAGGCGCAAAGAAACACAGCAGAGGCGAGGCGAGGGCTGGTGCATCACAACTCCATCCAGACATGGCAACTCGCTCCATACCCCTAAGCTGAAGCGTAAGCCTCGGCTCGCCCCCCCCACACCTGTACACGCGGTACATTGTGTCGGCGCGCCGCTGGCGGGCAGGGATGCTGCCGCTGGCGCCCGCAGCAGCTGGTGGGGCGGCTGCAGAGCGGCCGCCGCTCAGCACAAACTGCACAAAGGCCTGCTTGGTGAGCAGGCCTGCGGGCAGGACACGAGGGCAGGCCCCAGGGAGGCACTGGTGAGGGCAGCGGTTGAGCACAAGCCTGTGCAGTGGTGGGAGACGGCTGGGCACGCCTGGCTGGTGGGCACTGCAGCATGGCCGGCAGCAGCCTCCATGCCCCACCCCCGCCCCACCCACCGCTGCGCGGCACCGCCAGGTCTCGCATCAGCGCCGCCACGCTGCGCTGGGTGGGCTGCAGGCCCAGCCCCTCCAGCAGCTTCAGCAGGCCGCGGGAGTCCAGGGAGCCTGCAGGGAGGCGGGCCAGGTGCGTCAAGCGCAGGCAGGGAGGATGATATGCCAATGGAGAGGGGCCCCTCGCTGCGCTGCTGTTGCAGCCGAGCTGCCCCCAGAGGCCGCCCACCCGCCCCACCCACCATCCCCATCCCCATCCTGCGCATCAAACAGATCCTCCAGCTCCTGCAGCTGCTCTGGGTCCACCCCCCGCTGCTGCTGCTGCTGCTGCTGCTGCTGCTGCTGCTGCTGCTGCTGCTGCTGCTGCTCTGCCGCCTTGTCCTGCCCCTCATCTGCAGGCCCAGCCAGGCATTGCCAGCACAGCAGGCGCGTTATGGTGGACGGGAGCACGGTCCTCAGAGCACACCGCAGCTCATAGCATGCGGCCACCCTCACCCTTGGATGCCAGCTTGGCGTGCAGCTGGACCCAGTCCAGGCCGTGGGAGAGCCAGAGGTCAAAGAGATCGGCGGGCTGGAAAGCGGCGGCGCCATGCTGGCGTGGTACCGCCCCGCAGATCACATCCATCAGGAAGTCTGCGGTACGGTGACAGGTGGCAGGCGGCAGGGGAGTTGGCCCCAGGGAGGCGTGCACGCTGCCGTCCCCCTTGTGCCTTCCAGCTGCGCGCTGCGTGGCTGGGCTGCTGTCCCCACCGGTGCTGGCCCTGTCGGCCCCACCTGCGGGGTTTTCGTTGGGCGGCAGCTGGAAGCCGATGCTGTCGAAGTAGGGCAGCGCCAGGCGGGAGGGCCCCAGGAACACGAGGCGCCCGCCCTTGCCCAGCAGCATCACGTCGTCAAACATACGGAAGATAGAGAAGCGGGGCTGCACAAGGGGAGGCTGGGGCCGGAAGGTGGCAGTGCGGCAGGATGCCTTGGACAGGCGCACTGGGGGTGCACGCTGGTCAGGCAAACCGGCAGGATCGAGGGGCGAGGGCGGCGCCGGCCTTGCCTGGTGCACCACGCACACGACGTTCATGCCCAGGCGGGTCATGCGCGTCAGGGCGCCCTGCAGATGGGGAGGAAAGCGTGAGGCAGGCGCGGGCGCCAGGAGGGCCACTCTGGAGCGCCCCCAGCCTGGCTGGCACGGCAGCGGCGCCCCAGCAGGCCGTGCCAGCGCTCACAAGAATGTCGGCGGCAGCCGTGGAATCCAGGCCACTTGTGGGCTGCGTGGGCCAGGCGTGGGGCGGCGGTCCAGGGGAGGCAGGAGGTGATGAGCGGCAGGCATGCCCACCCCCCCTCCCCTGCCCACAGCTGCCCTGGCCTCCTCACCTCATCCATGAATAGGATGCTGGGCTTTGCCACCAGCTCCACTCCGATGTTCACCCGCTTCCTCTGCCCCCCGCTGCACCAGGCCCGGCCATGGGGAGTGAGAGGGGCGGCGAGGGGCACGCCAGCCAAGGGCTCCGCGCCCAGCAGGCAGCGGCTCGGACGGGGGCTGGGCACCAGCAGCAGCGCAGGCCTGGCTGCCCCACCCCCACCCACCTGATGCCCCTGCGCTCCACCGACCCCACCACCTGGTGCTGCACGTGGCGCAGCTGCAGCCAGCCAGGGAGGGGGCGGCAGGAGCAGCAGCGCCAGCAGTCAACCTACGGGAGTCGACCCACCCTACTCTACCCCCACCAGCCAGGGTCAGCCCGACGGCGCCTCCTCTGGCTGTCAGGGTGGAAGGCCCTCACCCAACAAAACCCGCCCAGCCCCCCAGCAACACACACACCTGCAGCAGGTCCACCGCGTCGTCCACCAGCCCCGCCTTCTCCTCCGCCCGCTTGGCGGCGCTGAGGCGCAGGCGGGCCGAGTAGGCCATGTTCTCACGTACCGTCAGGTCCTCGTGCACGACATCCTGCCGCGCGCGTGTGTGTGTGTGTGTGTATGCATGGAACGGGGGTGGGTGCGCGCGGCTGTGAGAGCAAGGCGAGGTGCGGCGGGTAGGAACAGGTGGGCTGTCTATGCCCAGGGGCACTAAGCAGCCGGTTGCAGCCACCGGTTGTGAGCCAAGCACGCGCTCCACAGCGCCTGCCTTTGACTGCGCTAGACATACACACAGCATGCGCACACCCCCCACCCCCCCAGCTCACATCCTGGGGCACAAAGCCGGTGATGGAGGTGAGCGCCGACAGCTGCACCTGCCGCCCGTTGACCAGCACGCGCCCGCTCTGCCGCCCCGAGGCGCCCGCCGCCCCCCTCAGCACGCTGAGGAAGGTCGTCTTCCCTGCGGGCCGCCAAGGTGGGGGTGAGCGCGTGGTGCCGGCAGCCTGCCTGCCGAAGAACAGCTATTGAGCCTGCCAGGGAGGCGGCGAGGCCTACCTGCGCCCGAGGGTCCCAGGATGGCCGCCAGCCGGCTGTGCTCAAACCTGCACACCGGGAGGGGCCGCGCGTGGCAGCCCGCATGAGCCTGCATGCGGCCTGACCTGGTGCCCCTGCTGGCCCGTGCTGTCCCCTGCTGCCCCTGCTGCCCGCCCTGCCTCCCCCACCTGCCGGTGACCCCAGACAGGATGGACCGGCCGTCGTTCAGCGTCAGCCCCACATCCTCAAACTGCAGCGTCAGGCGCGGCCGCACGCCCTTGAAGGCCCGGAACGGCTGCGCCCTGCACAGGGGTAGGCGCCGGGGTGGGACAGCGCAGCTGCGTGCGCCGCCCACGAGGCGGCGATGGCAGGCCGTCCCGCCTGGCGCATCTGGCGGCGCCGCCCGACACGTTGTGCCCGGCGCGAACCTGTTGCTGGCGCTGCCGGGCCCCAGCAGCGGCTGCAGGATGCCCAACAGCCGGTCCTGCACCTCCTGCTGCCTGCTCAGCTCGCGCTGGTCGTGGCGGATGACCGCCAGCACCAGGCCGTAGCACAGCCACATGGCGGCCAGCAGCGTGGCCAGCATGACAAAGCCGGTGTAGGAGAGGTCGGCGGAGGCTGCAGGGGCGGGCATGGGTGGGGGGCTGCGGCTGGTGAGCGCGCGAGTGTGGGTGGATCAGCAGGCATGGCAAAGAGATGTGTGAGGAGCAGGTGGCCTGGCGGCCCCATCCTCCCCCAGCCTGCAGGAGGCCGGCCAGGTGCGGCACCGGGCACGGCCCCCCGCGTGCTGCGCTGCCCGCCCCGCCCACCTGAGCCTTCGGGGCAGCTGGCCAGCACCGGGCATGGCTGGGGCTGCAGCGACCCCTCGGGGCAGAAGTACTTGGCTGGGCAGGCCAGAACTGTGGCTGGCTGGGGGCAGTACGAGCCCTTGGGGCACAGGCTGGCTGGGTTGGTGGCATTGGCGGGGCACGAGTTGCCCTGCAGCGGGTCGCCGTACAGGAAGACGCGCTGGGAGACGGTGGCGGGCTGGATGGCGACCTGCATGTCTGGGGCTGCCGCCATGAGCAGGCTCATGTTGCAGGTGACGGGCTGGATGGTGGAGGCGCCGCAGAAGAAGCCGGCCGGGCAGGGGTGGCTGGTGGCGGGGGTGGGGCAGTAGAAGCCGGCGGGGCAGCTGAGGGCCTCCACCGCCCTGAAGGCAAGCGAGCGAGGGTCGGTCGGGCGGTGCTGGAAGGCAACAAGGGTAGCTGCGCTGATGGTTGATGCTGTGGCAGGCGTATGAGCAGCAGGCGTATGAGCAGCTGGAATAAGCAGCAGGCGCCACAGCTGGGCAGGCACTCACATCTGTATGGATGGGTCCAGCACCGGCGGCAGCACAGAGCCGCGGGGGCACAGCATGCCGTACATGCATGCAGCGCACACGAAGCCGCCGCTGCCGCCAGCTGGGATCCCGGTCGCTTCGTCATCCTCCTGGAGGCTGACCCGGGCCTCGGGTTCGCCAGCCACGGCTGCGTCCCCCACCGCCGGTGGGTTGAGCAGCAGGCGCCGCGACTGCCGCGCCGCTGCCGCCGCCTGCGCTGTCCACGGCTGAGAGCAGACAAAGCCGCTGTCGCAGGCGCCAAAGGGGGCATCCCTGAAAGGGTTGCAGGGGCAGGCCTCTGGCACCGTGCGGCTCCTGGTGATGTCGGCAGGGCACGGCAGTGGTGGCGCCACCGCCGCAGCTGCGCCCACGGTTGCCAGGAGCAGCCACAGCGCAATGTGCGCCCTGCGCACAGTTGGCTGCCTAGACATAGCCAAGGCCGTCGATGGGCCTCCACAGCCGAGAGCGCGCCTTCCTAGGCAACCCCAAGGCGGGGCTGCGCTCGTCAGAGAATGCGCGGCACCGTTCCTTAGTGCGCCTCTCTTGACTTGAATCGCTGAAAGGGGGAGCTTGCATCTAGGGAAGAGAGTGGAGCTTCCAAGGCTGACCTGGCGTGACCACGCATAAAAGCCCGCAGGAGGGCTTCCTGTCCCACCCTTTCTGCACATTCTGGATCTGGACTCTGCATTTGCAGGAGTCCTGGCGATCGCCGCGCCGCCGCCACGCCTTTCACTCCCCAAACTCTGCGTTCCAGGCACCCCGAGCCTTCTCCTGGTAATCAGGGGGCAGCACAGTATGCGATCATACGTCAGCGATGCATCTCAACGCCATTCGCCGCCACCCGCCACCCGCTACCGCCCCGCTCCGCTCGCAGTTTGTTGTGGAGCCAGCTTGATGGCGGCACGCAGCCAGGCGCCATGATCCAGCACCACAAGCACCTCAGCCTGGACCTGCTGCTGCCGGATGGCTTCGCCTCTTCCGCGCCTGGCGCAGAGCCTGCTGTGGAGGCCCGCAGCGACAGCTTCTCCACCGGCGGCCGCTCCCGTCCCGTGGCGCGGCGGGCATGCAGCACCGAGTGCGTGCCTGCCCGCTGCTGCCACACCCCTGCTTGCTGCTGCCACGACGGCGCCCTTTCCGCATGCTGCAAGCGCTTTCGCGCTGCCTCCGCCTTTGCTGCAGCGTGCTGGATGAGCTGGAGAGAGGGCAGCGGCAGTTGGTGGTGGATGGGCGCGCGGCGCTGGTGCGGCTCACGCCCACCGGCATCGAGTGGACCAGCGCCCAGCACCGTGCGGCCGGCCAGGCGGCGGCGACCCACTTCAGTGAGCACCTGGGTGCAGGGGCCTGGTGCCACCTGGGCCTGGTGCCACCTGCCTGCATCATCCTGGGCACGGTGCGCTGCCATCCCACAGCCAGCCATCAACCCACGTGCTGCCTCCCGCGCTGCGGCCGCCATGCCCCCCCTCCCGCAGTCCCCTTCAGCGAGATGCTTTCGGCGCGGAAGGCGGTGCCCGGCGCCGCCTGCTGCCCGCTGCCCTGCCTGCGCGTGCGGCTGCACCGCCTGGAGATCGCCACCTTCCGCCGCTCGCCGGCGCGGCGCTGCGAGTGGGCGCCGCGCAGGGTGGTTGTGGAGGCGGCGGATGAGGAGAGCGTGGAGGACTTGGCGGCCGCCATCGGTGCCGGCATCCAGGCGGCGTCAGCTGGCAGGCCTAGGTGTGCGTGGGGATGCAGCATGGGGGGGGCGGTGCTGATGTGTTGCTTGCCACCCTGCCCCCCGGCAGCATGCCTCGCCGCCGCATCCGCTCAGCCCCTGCTGCGCGCCACATCGGTGCCGCATGCAGGAGCCTGCTGGTGCTGCTGAACCCCAGGTCGGGGTACCGCCAGGCGCGCCGCCTGTACCGCCGCACGGTGGCCCCCGCCTTTGCGGCGGCGGGCATCAAAGCCTGCGTGCGGGAGACGCGGGGCACGGGGCATGCGCGGGACATTGTGGCGCGGCTCGACGCGCAGCAGGTGGCGGGCATCGACGGTGAGCGGCCTGGGGGGCAGCGCAGCGCATGGGGAGGCGGCTGGATGGCGGGGGAGACGAGGAGGCGCCTCCGCCCCTGTCGACAACTGGCCCGGCCAGGGCTGCCCACAGCTCACCGCCCACTCCCTGCGCTCGCCCTCCCTCCCTGCGCTCGCACCCCCCCGCAGGCATCGTGTGTGTGGGCGGCGACGGCGTGTTCCACGAGGCGGTGAACGGCATGCTGGAGGCGCGCGGGGCGGCGGCGGCGGCGGGCGCCCACGCGCTGGCGGCGGCGCTGGCCGCGCTGCGCCTGGCCCACATCCCCGCCGGCAGCACCGACGCCGTGGCCTGCACGCTGCACGGCACGCGCGGCGCTTTTGCCGCTGCCGTGCACGTGTGCCTGGGGGACAGCCTGCCGCTGGATGTGCTGCGCGTGGACACGGCGGCGGGCGCCACCTTTGCCTGCTGCATCGCGGGTGCGCCGCCGCCCCGCCGCCGCCGCTGCTGGCCGGGGCCTGTGCAGCGGCCAGCCCCTCCGCTGCGCTGCGCCCCAACCACGGTGCAGCCTCCGCCCCTCCACCGCCTCTCCACCGCCTGCCTGCTCACTGCTGCCTGCCTGCCTGCCTGCCTGCCTGCCCTGCCCTGCCCTGCCCTGCCCCGCCTGCCCCGCCCGCGCAGCCTATGGCTTCCTGGCCGATGTGACGTCGGCGGCGGAGCGGTACCGCTGGCTGGGACCGCTGCGGTACGACCTGCTGGGAGCCGTCAAGCTGCTGGCCAGGTGCGGGCTTGCCGGCCCTGCGCTGCCGCTGAACGGAAGCAGGATGGCGCTGCTGTTGGTGCCCCTGGGAGTCATTGGCTAGCCCCGGTGTCGTGGAGATGTGTGGCGCGCCCTGCCAGACGCGCCGCCACCGCCGCCGCCGCCTCACCCCGCCCGACACGACATGCATATCCACTCGCCTGCTTGGCGTGCCGCGCCTGCAGCCGCGCCTACCCGGCCCGCATCCGATACCTGGAGGGGGAGGTGGGGCGGGCGCTGAGCCGCCAGCAGCACGCCGCCGCCTGCACCGCCGGCTGCGCCCTCTGCCGCACCGCCTCCTTCATGCACAGCCAGCGCGGCCAGGCGGCGGCAGCGGCAGGCGGCTCCCCACACGCCCCGCCCGGCCTTGCGGCGGCGCCGGCAGCCAGCAGCACCAGCCTGAGCGGCACAGTGCCGAGCGAGCCGCAGTCGCCGGGCCGGCCGGCCGTGGCGGCGGCGGCGGCGGCGGCGGCTGCAGCGGAGATTGTGGGCAGCCCCCGGCCGCCGCCGCCGGCACCCCTCCACTTCCTGCAGCACGCTGCGGGCGCTGCGGAGCGGCACGGCGGCGAGGGGGAGGCGTGGCGGGAGGTGGAGGGCAGCTTCTGCTCCATCATGCTCGTCGTCATGCCCTGCCGCTCCGACAAGACGCGCAGCGGCATGGCGCGGCATGCCCACCTGGCAGACGGCCGCCTCAAGCTGGTCCTGGTCAGCAAGTGCTCGCCCCTGCAGGTGAGCGGCGGGCGCAGCGCGGGGCCTGCCGGGCGGCGCGGGGGTCAACGGTCGGGCATGCCGCGTACGCGCCAGCGCCTGCTCCCGCCCGCCCCCATCTCCCCAGGCCGCCGGCAGCGCTGCACGCCTCCCACCCCCCTCACCTCCCTCCCTCCCTGCCCCGCGCTCCCGCTCCCGCAGTACCTGCGCTTCCTGCTGGCCATGAGCCGGCATGGCTGCGCCCCCGGCCAGCTGCCGTACGTGCAAGTGCTGGACGCGGCGGCGGTGGAGGTGGAGCCGGCGGGCGGCGGGCCGGCCAGCTGCTGGAACCTGGATGGCGAGATTGTGGGTGGCGGCGACGCGCGGCTGGCGGCGGAGGTGCACCACGGGCTGCTGCGCGTGTTTGCGCGGGGGGTGGAGTGATGGTGCTGCCGCCCCGGGCCCCTCCCGCTGCCAACTCTGGCCACCAGCACCACCTCGCACCTAGAGCTGCCTTGGGTTCCCCTCCCCCCGACCCCTCCCTCCCTCTTCCCCTGCCTGGGGCTACTACAGTCTTACACAAAATGCACTAGTGGATCAAGTCGGATGCGGCAGGCGTGGCGCCGCGGCAACAATGCTACAAGGCGGCCCGGGCATGGCGAGGTGTTGGGGGCGGCGTGCGGGGCGGCGAGCGCTAGGGCGTCGGCACGGGTACAGCGCAGTACTCTAGCAGTTAGTCAGTATACTAGCAGGTTGGAGTGTTGGGAGGGGTGTGTGCGCGCGGGTCTCTGAGCCCGGCCACTCTCTCGGGGGTAGAGGTACAGGGGGGCACTGGAGGAGCAAGAAGAGCACAAGGGTGGGGCGGCAGGGTTGGAGCCAGCCTGGTGGGATTGGCACACGTCTCGTGGCACAAGTGCGCAAATGTGGGTGTGGGTGTGAAGGCAGGGGGCAGGGACACGAGGGTGGGGGTTGGTCGGGAGGTGTGCCGAATACAACAGAGCAGCCGGGGGTTCCCCGGCGCTGCTGGTGCGCCGCGCAGCGAGCGGCAGGCCGGCTCAGGCAAAGGCGGGGGCGAAGGCGGGGCCGCCCTCGCCGCCGTGCTGGTCGCCGGCGCCGACGGTGACGCTGACCTCCTCCCAGCCTCCTCCTCCGCCGCTGCCCGGCCCTCCTCCTCCGCCGCTGCCCAGCGCGGGCTCCTCCCAGCTGCCGCTGTTGGCCGCCCAGCCGTCCAGCAGCCAGCCCAGCGGGTCCCAGCGCGGGGTGCCCAGCCTGGGAGGCTCCGCCTCCAGCAGCGCAGACACGGGGCAGTAGGGGCTGGCGCCGCTGGGCGCCTGCCACCCCGCCGCCGCATCCAGCGCCGCCGCAACCATGCAGTAGCGGGCGCCGCCGGTGGGGCCCACCCACTCGGGGGAGGCAGCCAGCGCCAGCAGCTGCGCAGCGGGGTCGTAGCGGCTGCGCACGCGGCCGCCGGTGGCGGCGGCGGCCAGCCCCCCCAGCAGGTCTGCCAGCATGTCGTATTTGGCGGGCGCCGGGGGGGCGGCCCCCGCGGCGGAGGCCTGCCGTACCGCCACCACCAGGTCAGCCCAGGGGTCGTACCGCAGGCCCAGGAAGGCGGAGGCGGCGCGCGCGGGGGCGGGGCCCCAGTCGCACAGCCCAGCCAGCGGGTCGTACCGGCTGCTGCCGCCCCACTCCTGCGGGGCAGCAAGGCACCAGGGAGCGGCATGGGGCGCAGCGAGCAGAGCAGGCAGGCAGGCGGGCCAGCAGGCATGCGGGCAGGGCGCGGCAGGGTGAGCCGGCGCCAGCCACAGCCAGGGCCAGGGCAGGCACAAAGCAAGGCGAGGCAGGCAGCGGCTGGCGGGTGTGCCAGCCGCAGGGCCGCTGCCGCCACCCAGCCGCACCTCCAGCAGTGTGGCCTCCTTGAGCAGCCACCACACAGGGTCGTACTT